GGGCTCACACACAACACGAAACTCAGCGAGGCTCTCGAATGCAGGAAAGGTCACAGCCAAAGCCAGTTAGTGGGTGCTGCTGCTGCCACGCACAAGCTTTCTCTCAAAGAAAACCTCAGGAAGTTTTTGGGTCTCCTCTCCTTCATTTGTGTGCAGTGACATGGGATGCAGCAGCAGGCTAGCAGATAGGGAAGGAGGGGTGGGGTGGGGGTCCAGTTCTCCTCAGCCTGTGGATGGTCTCCTCTTGAAGAGGCTCCAGCTCCCCCAGGTCCGTCCCCCCCCACTGAGGACTGACAGCTGTAGTGAAGGCTAACACGCTCTGAAGCCAGAGACGACCGGCACTGCACCAGCCATTCTCCCCCAAGACTCCCCTCACACATCACACACACACACATCTCCCCAGCATCTCTTCTCCTTCAAGGGCAGGGAAAGGAGAGAGACTCAGGGTGCTATCTCCCTGGAAATGGAGTCACCCAGAGCACCGTCACGCCTCGGTCCCGTCACTGTGACAGAAATTCTGCTAATGGACCTGGGCAGGGGCGCTTGGGCCGGAGCCCTGACTTCCTTCCCCTCGATCACCTCTGCCCCCCAAGCCATGCGCCCATTCTCAGCACCGATGTCTGCGATATGTAAGATGACGTACACAACGTCCTCAGTCAGATTTCCAGCATGCAGTGAGAGTACAAGCTTGGCAATCGTGGCTTTCAAAAGCAGCGTTTTGCTAATGATCTGGAAGGAAGGGAGGGAGGGAAGGAGCTTGTGGGAATGTGACAGTAAGACTCCCCTAGCAACGGAAACCCCTCTGGACCAGAGCTCTTTGGACCAGACCTCTTCAGAAACATCTGTAGGGTCAGCTATTGCCAGTAAAACATTATGATATTTTTTATAAAAAAATTCTTTTTTTTGCAAAGTGCTGGATGGAGTTCAGACTCAGGTCACTTGTTATTACTCACATATCCCAAGAGCAAGGGACCTCAGGCGCGAGGGGCAAACACGTAACGCTACCCAGACTCTGGCCCCATCCTTACCAGTGACCCAGCCGCTCAGTGTGTCAGGGCTGCAGCTGTGTTCTCATTACCGAAGAGGCCCACGGGGACCTGTCGACCACGCTTCATGTGAACTTAGCTAGACATGGTGCCACTTGCCAGCTCTGGGCTGCGAGATGTGAAGATCACTTTGCATGAAAGGGTGGCAAGGATGAGTGAGTACGGGAAGCCATTCGTTCTAGCAGGACCCGTGCAGACACAGGGCGCTGTTAATGTCTCGGTGCCGTCACTGCGACAGAGATTTGTGCTGATGAGCCTGGCAGGGGGCGGGGTGGGCCGCCGCTTGGGCCGGAGCTCTGGCTTCCTTCACCTGCACTGTCTACGGCTCTAGTGAGGGTGAGGATGCGCTCACGTCTCCTGAGTTCTGGGAAGTCGGACCCACGATGAGGACATGGGCTTCACTTTGGGCACTCTAGTCTGAAGGCTCCTGTGGCTTTGGCCATACTTGGGGGGCCGCCACTGAGCAGCCAGATCCAACGGAGCAGAGCCCCCACGCCCATACAGACGTCTGCCGCTCCTTTGAGTCCTCACGCACTGCTCGGCCCACCTGACGTGCCAGGCCAACCCCAGAGCGTCGTCATGACACCGGTGTGGATTCAGTGGCTACGGAGGGAGGCAGGCATGGGGACGAGGTGTCGGTCATGTGGTACTGAGCAAGATGATGATACTTTAAGCCTCTGAATTGCCCACTGATGTAACTTCCATGAAATGTGACATTTTGATCGCCCGTGTTTGTGTGGTTGAGTATTTACAGCCTGAACGACCAGCACTGCAGTGATTTTTTAAACAGTGATATCGTTTTCTCAAAATGCAACAGTAATTGTAGAATCTGGGTCTTGGATCTATGAGCGCTCATGGTAAAATTCTTTCAATAATTCTGCATGTTTAGAAATGTTTATAGTAAAATATTTTAAAAAGTTAGGGTTGTGTATGACTTGTTTATTCTGAAGTACAATAGAACTTAATCGCTTTACCACTCACTGCAAGCTCTTACTCACTTAGATAACTTTTAAGTCATTTTGAGCTAGGACACAGGACTATAAATGGATGTTAATGAGCCTGAATCAGCAACAGGAAATGGCTTTGTATAAATTGCTGCAAAAATGTTTACAAGAGAGAGGTAGATTCTAATCATGTATTTACAGCACATTAATGCTAATTTTTTACAGGCTTGTCATTATGTCCTTTTTGCAGATGGGTACACTGAGATAGAAGGCCCTGTCAGAGGCTGAGGGGCAAAGTCACCAGCACAGCTGAGAGCACCTAGCCCACTCCAGCGCGCTCTCTTCTTCATGGTGAAATCCAGCCAGTCAAACAGTGCAAGTCTCTTAACCTAAGGATTTAGCAATACGATGTGTCTGTGTTTAAACGAGAGGGGTTATGCCATCAAGACATGTGTGAGGAGGTGCTGTTATGACTGCTTGCTCTGTGCACATCAAGGCTTCTTTATGCTCAAGCTGAGTACAAGCACCGGGATGCAGATGTGCTTTAAACAAACAATGCCTCTTTTCTTATTCTTATGACTATTGACTTTGATTCTGGCAACATCTACTCTTAGTCATAAGTCTGTGAAGTAACCTCATTTTAATATATTTTGAAATGCAAGGGGTGGTAATATTTCTAAAAGAGGGGATGGCAAACTCTGAATTCTTACTTAATAATGACATGCTTCTAGAAGTCAAGACATTCAGACTTATTTTAGAACACATGTACAAGAGCTGTAACTGGCACCTTACACCATCAGCCTGTGTCACTGTCCCCACTCCAGAGGAATCCTGGACTGCAAAACCCATTCTGCGGCAGAACAAATCAGGTCTGCGTTGCTGGCGAGGGCGACCGAACGCTGTACGTGCTCTCTCTTCACGGAATTGGAAAATTTTACCTTCTTATGAGGCCAGGCATGTTACTCTCCTGTGGATATTCTGGCTTCTGGACACCCTGTTCTGACACTGTCTCGTCAAGCAAGCTTCAAATTGACATCCTTTGGGAAGACCTTTATGAAGTCTTTAAGCCACATGTTTATAAAATACTTTCATTTTAAACAAATATAAATACGGCTCCTTCGTGCCAAGATACACAGCCAGCTACACCCAGGAACTAAGCAAGCTGTGGCCCAGTTCTCAGTCAAGACTCACTGAGCTCCCTGAAGATTTTTCTGGTTACTGACATACTTATTTAACGGTTTCTTGCATTTTTGTTGGAAGTTTTGGTCTATTTTTAAAACATCATTCCTCCCCCCCCACCCCCATTCAAAGGTTCATACACACTCCTTTCAACTACATGGAAAATGTAGATGTATAAAAAGGAAAATAAACAGAACCCATAATAAGCATTAGTAACATTTTGATATACTGTTTCCCTCACTATCAAAATCTAGGTTAAAGGCCAGTGCAAACTTCTTTTTTACCCCAGTGCAAAAATATAAAAATAAAATAGAATGAAATTTGACCTGTTTTGTTCCTAACTTTGGGAAAAAAGAGTTTGGATAAAGAAGAATACCTTTATAGCCTTCTATTTAGCTTTACGTATAGAGAGAGAGCTGGAGAGCTACAAACCAAAGCATTATTGAAAATATAGTGTGTTTATTCTCACAAAATTGGCCTCATTTTGGGAGGGAGTTTAATCTCTTTTTTTCACATAGGCTAAACAAAAGAAAGCCTCCGCTTCTCCGTCTAACATTTCTCTCACTTTCTGAAAATTTCTGAACATGCACCCTTAAGTATTTTTTCATGTAACATCCTTATGATTTATTTCAGAACGAAAGCCGTAAAAATTCTTCTTATAACTAAAACTAAGACCACAAATTTAAACGATACGAATGTTTGTACTGTTTTGTACTGTTCAAAATTTAAAACCATTTGGCTGATAACATAAATGCATCTTACGTAAATCTGTATGATAGGAATCAAGTACACAGCATTTCTCACTGTCAGAAACAAAAGGGGCACAGAGTGCTGCACCTTGCTCTGTTAGCAAGTAAACTACTTGTTTGCTTTCTTCTGCAAATGTTCGAGTTTCTTTTGAATCACTTCAATGAGCTAGGAAGGCAGATCTGGTTTCCTGGAGAGGAGTCATGACGGACAGAAATAGTCTGGGGAGCACTGGCAATTTGCCAACATCTCAACAAGGACGGGGAGCTGCAGGGCAAAAGACACTGTCATCGACGTGCCACCACACGTGGTGAAACGCAGACGAATCAGGGCAAAGTTGGGGAGAACCATTGTTGAGAGAAACAGCGCACTACTTATCTAAGTGACTGACACATGTCACCAAAACCAAAGCTCGTTATGTGTCTAAATCCCCAGAGTGGAGTCGGAATTTCCTTTAACTCCACCCGTTACTCAGAGAAGCAGCATGTTACTGACTTTCTGTCTTTACTTCATGGGCCACGTTTGTTGGTGAGCTATGTCAGATGTAGGAAGTGTGGTACCAAATCACCAGGTTCGCAAGCAACAGAGACCAGAAGCACCCTAGAATGACCATTAGGATGCGTTCGTGGAATACCACAAACCTGAAGGTCTTCATTATACCCGCTGAAATTAAGTCGCATTTCTTGATGATCTGAGAACACCGACAAGTTTACCAAAAAGCTCTATGTATGCTGGGCAGGGAGGCGGGAGAAGGCACAAAAATGCGGGGAGAGAAGGAAACCTGAGAACTAAAGAACACACCGGAATATCTGTTTATCCATCACCAAGTCTCTGATGGACACCTTTGTTTTTAAAAGAGTTGAAAGAACATTTCTGAAAGATGAACTCATCTGAGTACCATCCAGTGCAATCCACGTGCATTGCTGAACCAACAAGTCTCCGGCAGAAAGCGGCTCGGCTGAGGCCGATCTACCTTAGCAAATGTTCCTTGCTACCACCTCCCGGTCACGCTTTTGCTCGGAGGCCGGGCATTTCAAACACCAACATACAGGTATTTTCAAGAACCTAATGAGTCAGTTCCTACCTCGACATAGTCCTTGGCATGGCCCCAATCTCGTTTGGCATCCAGATTTCCCAAACTGAAACATTCCAGTTGTCCAAGGTAAATCTTAGCTACTGACCGGCTAATTTTTCGAGTAACAAAATTAGCTCCTAAAAAGAGACAAAGAGATGTATTATCAGTGGAGTACATTTGACATTTAGCAGTTTGGTGAACCAATCCCACTCTCAGCCTCTGGGCATTTCTTTCACTCCCCCCTCCCCTTCCCCTTTAAAGGAATAATAAAAGCAAAGAAAAAAGAAAAAAGATCATTAACTGTCATTCAGACAAGTTAAGAAGCTCTAATTCTATGTGTCACGTCAGCTCTACTTTCATAACAAACATTTTTCTTTGGTGGACGTCTTAACCTTCCTAACTGGCGGCTGTAATATGCAAGCCAGGCATTAGGCCAAAGAAAAGCTATGGGAATGCCAGTTTCTAAGCAGAAAATTCAAAAGGCTTGTATAAAGGGAAATGCCAGAATGGAAGACAGACATCTAAGACCACCCTGCTTTTTTTTTTTTTTTAAGAACATAAACATCATGTATTCCTATTAATAAAGCTATCTGGGGAGAGAGAGGGAGAGGAACTTAGCTAACAGGGTTTAACTAGTTAAAGGAAACAAACAAGAAATGCATTTGGGGCCAACCAAGGATCTTATTTAGAAATCTGTGCCACCATCCAATCTGGAGGTTCACAATTGCAAGGCAAATGTGCCTTCAACTGCACAACACCTTTTACCTTTATTCAAGTGTTTACCACATGTTTCCTCTGAATCTGGAAGAAATATGTTGAAACGACTGGCGGAAAGGTACCCTGAAGTGAAGGAAGTGGTGCCCTGGTTTGAATGTTCCCTGGTCTCTGATGAAAGCCTCTTACTTACTGTATTTACAGGGTATTCTTTCAGTTGCGACTGTGGGCTTTTTCTCATTTTTCCCCACCACCATCCCTCACCCTCCCTCATACTCCCTGACCTTTGACCTTTTCTGGCTCTCCCTCCCTCTTAACCTCAGAAGTCTAACTTAGTTTGTTACTGTCAGCGAGCTTTTCTATGTATTTTGCTTTGAGCAGTCTTCTACTATGAAAACATCCAATATTTTTGCCTTTGTCATTTTTACTTGTTTTACTGCAATAGTACAGAACAGGCGATTTTGTTGGAGTTAATGGCTTCATATTCTTCAGACAGATGCCCAAGAGTGGGACTGCTGGGTCATAGTCGTACTACTAATTCCAATTTTACGTTTTTAAGATAAATCCTGGTCATTTTCCAAAAATGGTGCACCCGTTTACCTCCCCACTCTATCTACTTTAAAAGACTGCAGAGAAAGACAAAAGGAAAAGACACTTCAGAAACAATTCCACCCTTACCCTACAGACAAATGCCAGATAATGCCAGCGTCTCCAGGTAGGCGCCATGTGAGTTCATCAGTAATGGCTTCCTATGGTATAGGTAGATTGCTATCCTAATTTATCACATTTCAGTGACTTTAACTTTGTTCTCTACAGATGAAACCGGGAGGCAATGTTATGACAAAAGCCTTTGGCTTCCAGAGAAACTGGCACAGGAATAAGGGAAATTTTTCTTACTAGGTTTTCTAAATTTTGGCAAGAATGTGGTCCAGCACAAGTTCAAACATATACTAGATTCACTTACCACACAAATTCAGTACACACAGTTACACGAATGCCATCTCATTAAAAATCACAATGGTACTTCTGCAGAAATCCAGATTCTGTTTCTCTGAGTAATTCACAGAGTACATTAAGAAACCCAAAGTTCCAGCTCCCTATACACCAGTTTATGAATCAGAAGTTTAAAAAAAAAGGGGGGGGGGAAGCTGAGTGAATAAATAAATAAATAAATAAATGAAGAAATATTTATTTATTAGGTGTTACTCTGCTAGGTCTATGATCAACAGGCTGGTTTCATGTGCTATTGACTGGTGACAACTGACGCTCATAATTAAAGTTGGGTGATGTCTTTCTAGTTCAGCGTGAGGCCTCCAGTATCACATCTCAACATCCACTGGACACTGGAGCTGCCAAGTCACTGGTGGACAGCCCCAAGACAGCAGAGTTCAGAGTGTGCTGTTCGCCGGTAAATGAGTTTCAGGAGTCTGCAGGGAGCGCGGCACCTTCCCCAGCTTGATTACACTTTCAACCAGTGTTAACTGAGCAGCAAGCACTGAGCCAGGGGTCTGGAGGCGAAGCAGCCCCTACTCCCAGTAGGGGGGGCAGGACACACGGACAGAAACAAGCTGGGGGGTCACTCTCCTCCTGGATGCAGCGGGAAACCCCACCAGAAAAGGAGCCTTCACTGGCCACTCCGGCAGGACATGCAGGGACGAGATAGGCTGTGTGACGGGCTCAGGGCTCCCCAGTGAAGGGGCGGCACAGGCGAGACAGGGCAGCGTCCTTATGTATTGGGCCCTGACCACACTCCCACTGATCAGGACCAGGCTGCAGCCAACGATGGCAATGGCGTTGAGCACCACGCTCCGCGATTCAGATGCAGAAACTCATTGAATTTTCTAGGCCACCCAGGTGCTAGGGACTGCTGTCACCACCACCATGTAGATGAAGAAGTGAAGATTCTGCAAGCTAGGAGAATGGCTCATTCTGCAGCAGGGTGGTAGCCACTGCGGGGTGATGACCAAGCCTTGGCTCTCCGCTTGCCAGGACAAGTGTGGCTGGACACACTCATTTATGGATGTAAAAATTATCTTGGACAACTCGTCTGACTGATTTAGAAAATCTAGTTCTTTACCTGTATACTGCTACTTACATCATCTTAATGAGATACAAATCCATACCATAAAATCCACCTATTTCAAGTGTGTAAAACACAGTGGGTTGCAGTAATTTGCCAAGTCATGCGGTCATCACCCCAAAAAGTGATGGAGCCCTTTGCCATCACTCCTCAAGTCCCCTGGTCCTAGAAAGTCTGAAGGAGAATTCTGGAAGTAGGGTCCTGCCACCTTAGTTCTCTTACTCTTTTGGTGTTATCGTAAACATGTGTTCCAGCTTCTCAGTAGCTGCATCTGTTAAGTAGGACAATAATTCACATAAAGGATCAAACAAGACACTGGAACTGACAGACTACAGAATACTGTGTCAACATCAGGCGTTTCTAGTGGTTACACATCTTTTTTATTTTGGACAGTCTTACTGTGACAAATCTTTTTTCAAGTTAGGCCTTTTCCTTTCGCATTTCTCTTGACAAGACCTTCGGATTTAGTCCAAAGCTGAGAAAAGATTCGAAGTGCTCTGTCAGACAGTAAAAACCAGACAAAGATTATTTGTCATTCCCATTCCCATTCTTCACAGTACGATATCAGAATCCTAAGCGTAAGACCGCATGCTTTGCAAGCAAGGCTTCCTGAACAAGTGCCTTCCTAAATAATGTGAGCATATAAAATCCAAGTGTGTTCACAGTGCAAAGTGTCCCACACAGGGGTACCCCTCAGGTCCTGAGGGGCAGTGTGGCGGTTGTGGTTCTTGTGAAGAGGGCCTTTGAGAAGGAAGGGCGCTTCCCAGCTCTCTCCTTCTAGGCTGGGCGAGAGCATGAGTGCCTGTGGGTGAGCAGAATGCCTCGTTTCAATTTAGTCTCTTTGGAATGGGATAAGAACAGAAGAACCACTGCGAGGGGCACCTTTGTCCTACTTCTTGCCTGAGAGCGCCTGCAGGCTCATCCAGACTGAGCTGGGGCAGCTGCAGCAAGACCCATGCGCCAGCGACATGAGCTTCTCCAAAAGGTGAGAGCAACGAGTCGGAGGCCTGCAGGTGAGCCCGAGGGGCCCACCGGTGGCGGGGAGCATGCCTTGACGTTGAGGCTCGGAGGTAAGACCACCTCGGTCAAGGACTGCACGCAGGAGGAGCCGGAGGCTACCCCCTGTCAGCCAGTGAGGGCAATAGGGAGACTGTCAGCCCTGGAGCTGACAGTAAGAGGAGCTGTTGGATTTTATCAGCAGCTGAAAGAGCTGGGCCTAGGGCGAGCAACTTCTCCTAGGCCACCACGCAGAGGAGAGCGCAGACCAGCAACTCTATCGCTGAGAGCACCAGGCCACGGACACCAGCTACCACCCTGCCCACGTGAGCTCAGACTGCATCGGTGTCGCACATGACCGGGGCCACCTTGAATAGAAACAAGGCGAGGTGGCACCCCCAGAAAAACTGGCACCCCCATTATATTCCAGGAGACACTGACATTTTTGAATCAAATTGGTTCTTTTTGAGAAAAGCAGACATACTCTTAAACTGTTAAGGGTGGGATGCATTTTCCGTGGCTGCCGCCACAACTGACTGAGTGGCTGCAGGTGATGTCTGACCTGCAGCAGGACTGAGCTCCTTCTGGGAGGTCTAGGGGAGCACCTTCGCTTCCTCTTTCTGTACCCGGCGCTCCAGGACTTCTTGAGTTCTAGGGCAGTGTCACTGCAACCTCCGTCTCCATCTTCCCATCTGTGTGTGCGAGTTTGCCTCTTCTGTTCCTTGTAAGGGCGCTTGACACTGGATTCGGGTTTACCCTGGATGTCCAGGTTGAGTTCTTTATCTCAAAGCTCCTTGCTCTGATTACATCTATAGAAGGCTGTTTTCCCAAACACAGACAGGAAGAGATATGGATATCCTTGTCTAAGTTCCCAGGATTAGAATACTTGAGAAAATGTGATAACACTTGTAGCTAGCCTTATGAGATGATTTCCACATCATTTTGAGGATAATTCCGTATCTTTTATGAGCATAACAGTCACAAAAAGTCTTTGGTAGGAAAAGATTAATTTAAAGGTAACAATGTAAATTTCCTCTGTTTTAACTACAAGTGTGCCTTTGTTAATCTGCCAGTTCCCAGTTCTCTATCTACAGAGAATGAGCTTCTAGTTATGTCAGGAACAGAAATGTGGTGTAGATTTCTGTATGTAACCACTTATTTTCTTATCCTTCCTTCCCAAATCTTTCCTTAGGCCTAATTTCCTTTCTTCTGAAAATACATTCTTTAGAAGTTCTATTCATGTAGAGAAATTAAATGCTCTTGTGCATAATTGGAAGACAGTTTTGCTAGTTATTTAATTCCAGATTGAAAATCATTCTCTCTTGGCACACTCATGGTCCTCTTCCA